CCGCTGCGCCAGGTCGAGCAGGGGCAGCAAAGCTCCGCGCCGTTCCGGCTCCGGATAGGTGGATATCAAAAACTCAGCCCGCTTCTTGTTCTCCTCGTCGAACTCGAACTTGAGCTTCTCATACATGTTGCACGCGTCCAGCTTAAAACGCGACTCCGAGGTGCTCAAAGCGCGGATTGGCGGCGCCTGCAGCACCAGGCGCGGCAGCTGATACAAGCGCAACAAATTGGCAAACATCTTGGACTCGTTAAGAATGTTTGTATGTATGTCTATAATTCTCTTTATATATGTGTATATGTATGTATGTATGTGTGCTTGCTTGATATTTGATGGGAGAGCAGAAGGAAAGGCAACCGACTGCTCGACACGAGCTGCAGCGCTTGCCTAGCCTCTAGTTTAGTATTTCAATTTGATATTGAAATTGTCAGCGTTGCGTTGAGTTATGTTCATATTATGTGTATGTGTGTGTGTGTGTGTGTGCGTGTGTGTGTGAGGTTGCAATCAAATTAGCAATAGAGTATGTGAGTGGCATGCACTGTCATGGCAACAATCGTCATTTGATGCGTCTGACGGCAATAACTAACTCAAACAATATGTCAATCAGTGCCCGATCGGGTGCCCCAACGTGCTGAAAATTGCTCAAATTGTTCAAATTGCATGCCACGCCTAATTGGCAATATACAGGGCGAAAGAGAAAGGGAGAGCAAGCGAGCGCCAAACAAGTGATGGAGCCACACAGAAGCCACAGCATCTGCTTTTGAGCAATAAAGACAGAGAGAGAGGCGGAGAGAGGGAGGCGGACAGGGAGAGGGCACTGTAGAGCAGTCAATCACTTTGATGGGCCGCCATTGTTATCAACACCTGTCCGTGCTCCAACACCTGAACCATTTGCCACATTCCTGCATTTTTACAGCTATTAAGAGGCGACGCTGACTATGACTCTGCCGCTGCCAGTGCCTTCCTCTCTCTCTCTCTTTCTCTCCCTCTCTGTCTCACTCCCCCTCTCTTAACAATATCTCGTAAAATGTGTAATTCAGCAAAGTGTCTAATAAAAGTTTGCCATAAGCGATAATCGATAATGGCTGCTCAAAATGCCATTGATTACAGATCACATGGTCTCGCAGCGCTATTAACCGAAAACAATTGAAAACATCCCACGCATAGAGCCCAAAAGAATCAGGTCTGACAATTAACTTCGGACAAGTGTTTAGATTCGATTTCGGTTATTATTGGAAATGGAATTATAGAGGTTAACCGCTGAGTAAATATATATGATATGATATGTATATGAAATATATATATATACTACTAGAG